ATATCTCAACAACTGCAGTCCAAACAAAATTGAAAAAATCATTTAATTTAAAGTTTTTTTGTTTATTTTAGGTGAAGAATTTAATTCTTTTTCAACGAAACTTGATTGTATTAAACCTGACATCCATTCTGTTTAGTTTTTAATAGCACAATTTACCGTCTCTAAAAATTTCTCAATATATATCAGAAAAATTTTCGCTACTTTCTACATTAAATAATAGTTGAAAACTATCTGATATCTAAAAAAATGCGATATAACAAAAGCCTAAATCGTTTTCATTTAGGTTTTTAAGCGTATACTTACAAATAAAAAGTGTAAAGTACGGAAAAATTTGGCAAACATCATTTATATTTTGACTACTGCAGTCAAAAAAAAAAAGAAAATGTGATTCTATTACGCCTTTTTTTGGTTACTTTACGTGTAAAATTCATTTCTCTTTCGACAAGACTCTATTGTAGTCAACCTGACATCCGTTCTGTCTTGTTTCTAATAGCACATTTTACCGTCGCTAAGAATTTTTTAATATATTTAGGAAATATTTCGCTGCTTTCTAGATTAAATAATAGTTGAAAACTATCAGATATCAAAAGAAGTACTATAAAACAAAAGTTATAAAACGCTATATTTCAAGTTTTAAAGAGTATACTAACAAGTAAAAAGTGTTAGGTCCAATAAAATCCAACAAATAACAATTATATTTTAACAATTGCAGTCCAAAAAAGGGAAAAAATGTTTTAAATAAAACTTTTTTTGGTTACCTAACCAGAAGAACTCTATTCTTTTTCAACATAACTCGATTGTAGTAAACCTGATATCCATTCTGTTTTGTTTCAAGTAGGACATATTTATCATCGCTAAAAATTTTTCTATACATTAAAAAAGAAATTTTTGCTACTTTCTGGATAAAATCGTTGTAAAAAACTGTAAAATTTCAAAAACAAATGCTATATAACAAATGCTATAAAACGTTTTTTGTCAAGTCTTAAAGCGTATACTATCAAATAAAAAGTGTTAGGTTCAATAAAATCTAGCAAACTACATTTACATTTCAACAACTGCAGTCCGAAAAAAATTGAAGGAAACATTTAATGTAAAGTCTTTTTGTTTATTTTACGTAAAGAATTCAATTCTTTTTCAACGAAACTTGATTGTAATAAACCTGACATCCATTCTGTTTAGTTTCTAATAGCACAATTTACTGTCGGTAAAAATTTTTTAATATATATCAGAAAAATTTTCGTTGCTTTCTAGATTAAATAATAGTTGGAAACTATCTGATATCTAAAAAAATGCGATAGAACAAAAGCCTTAATCGTTTTCTTTTAAGTTTTTAGGCGTATACTTACAAATAAAAAGTGTTAAGTACGGAAAAATTTGGCAAAAATCATTTATATTTTGATTACTGCAGTCAAGAAAAAAGGGAAGAAATGTTTTAAATACAACTTTTTTTGGTTACTTAACGTGAAGAACTCAATTCTTTTTCAACATAACTCGATTGTAGTAAACCTGATATCTATTCTTTTTTGTTTCAAGTAGCACATATTTACCATCGCTAAAAATTTTTCTATATATTAAAAAAGAAATTTTCGCAACTTTCTGGATAAAATCGTTGTAAAAAACTGTAAAATTTCTAAAAAAGTGCTATATAACAAATGCTATAAAACGTTTTTTGTCAAGTTTTAAAGCGTATACTAACAAATAAAAAGTTTTATGTTCAATAAAATCTAGCAAATATCATTTACCTTCTCAAAACTGCAGTCTAAGAAAAAAGAAATCATTTTATTTTAACTTTTATGGTTACTTTACCTGTGGAATTCAATTATTTTTCGAAAAAATTCGATTGTAGTCAACTAATCATCTATTCTGTTTTTTTTCTAATAGCACATTTTTGCTGCCGCTTAAAATTTTTCAATATAATTAAGAAAATATTTTCGCTGCTTTCTAAATTGAATAATAATTAAAATTATCAGATATCTAAAGAAATGCTATAAAACTAAAGCTTAAATCGTTTTTTTTTAAGTTTTTAAGCGTATACTTACAAATTAAAAGGTTTAAGTACGAAAAAGTTTGGCAAATACCATTTATATTTTAACAATTTTTGTCCAAAAAATGGTAAAAAATCATTTTATTACGACATTTTATGGTTACATTATGTGTAGAAGTCCACTCTCTTTCGACGAAACTCGATTGAAGTCAACCAGAAATCCTTTCTGTCTTAAATATATAGCACGTTTTACCTTCGGTAAAAATTTATTAATACATTTAAGAAAAATTTTCGCTGCTTTCTGGATTGATCAATAGTTGAAAACTATCAGATATCTAAACAAGTGCTATATAACAAAAGTTATAAAACGCTTTATTTCAAGTTTAAAAACGTATACTAACAAATAAAAAGTGTTAGGTCCAATAAAATCTAACAAATAACATTTATATTTCAACAACTGCAGTTTAAAAAAAGGGAAAAAATCATTTCAAAATAACTTTTTTAATATACTTTACGTTAAGAATTTAAGTATTTTTCGACGAAACTTGATCGTTTTCAACCTGACATCTATTCTGTTTTTTTTCTAATATCACATTTTTGCTGTCGCTAAAATATTTTCTATATAATTAAGAAAACTTTTCACTGCTTTCTAAATTGAATAATAGATAAAATTATCAGATATCTAAAGAAATGCTATATAACTAAAGCTATATAACGTTTTCGTTCAAGTTTTAGAGCGTATACTAACAAATAAGAAGTGTTAGGTTCTATAAAATCTAGTAAATTACATATATATTTCAACAACTGCAGTCCAAAAATAGGGAAAATATGTTTTAAATACAACTTTTTTTAGTTACCTTACGTGAAGAACTCAATTCTTTTTCAACATAACTAGATTGTAGTAAACCTGATATCCATTCTGTTTTGTTTCAAGTAGCACATATTTACCATCACTAAAAATTTTTCTATATATTAAAAAAGAAATTTTCGCTACTTTCTGAATAAAATCGTTGTAAAAAACTGTAAAATTTCTAAAAAAGTGCTATATAACAAAAGCTATATCTAATAAAATAAAAAAATGTTTCAAAAATACTAATGTAAAACTAGTTTTTTATAACTTAATTAAAATAAATTTAATATTCACTAAACTAAAAGACAAGGTTGATAAACTAGAACAATCTAATCTAGTCTATAAAATACCTTGTGTATGTGACAA